TATATACATAGAGACGGAGCGAGAGAGAGAGAGAGAGAGGAGAGAGAGAGAGAGGAGAGAGAGGAAGAGGAGAGAGAGAGAGAGAGAGAGGGGAGAGAGAGAGGGAGAGAGAGAGAGAGAGATAGAGAGAGAGAGAGAGAGAGAGAGAAGAGGAGAGAGAGAAGGAGAGAGAGGAGCGAGAGAGAGAGAGAGAGAGAGAGAGAGAGAGAGAGAGGATATATACATATATATATATATATATATATATATATATATATATATATTCACATGGTAAATCATTAAGTATGCATGGTGCCTTTGACGAAGAAGGCATGTCCACGCGTTCTCCATTCCAGAGAGCCAAACTTGTGGTATTGTGTGGTTGTTCGGGACCAGTTTGTCCAGACTGGTAGGAATGCGTCGGATCTATCGGGCACCATTGCGCATCACCGTTCAATTATCCTTTTCTGTAGATTAAGAATGTTGGTGCAGTGATTATGTCACTGACTGACGTGCTACACGTGCTGATCCTCAGACATGTCTGACACCTCAGAACGTCCACCCACGTGAGATTATTGCTCAGGATGATAACGCAAACACAAAAGTTATGCAAAGAAAGCTATGGATGGAAATTAAATTATAAAACTGTAAATAAGCCCCACATTTTCATGCGCGCAAGTTGCACGCGGTAAAATTACTCTTGGTTTAATTGTGCACGTCGCTTCTCATTTCCAGAAACTTCTGGGGGAAAAATGCGTGGTACTCACCGCTATCGCTGCAGGCACACCATAGGTCTCAGGACAGCGCAACTTGCGCAGCATGCAATTGCATCACATTCCAGGAAAGTGAATGTGCTCCGCTGAAGCGAAGCGTTCCACTAGAAGGACGCGTTTCGCCGCGTGTAATGAGTGAGGCTGTAACAAACGTCACAGCTATCAGCTCAAAATCATACCGAAACATCAGCAAATGGGGTCTGTCGCCTTTGGTACCTTTATAAATGGGACCTTTAATGAACTGGGGGTCCTCCAGTGGGTCTAGCGGTCAGGGATGCACTGATGCATAGCGTGGTGAACAAACTTTCAAACGGTGGTATAAAAATGTAGGCAGTTTTATGAACCTGACAACTCCTTGCAACTTTAATCGAAGATGCGGAACAAGTTGAAATAGGTGATGTTTTTGGCAACCGTGACAAAAGTATTATGAAAAGCGGTCTATATTGGGTGCTTATTGGCCAAAATAGCCTACAACTAACACTTCCCTAGTCTGCATGGCAGACTCTCCCAGTAAGACAACAACATTTTGTGTGCATAATAGTTCAGAAAACGTGGCAATGGTCGCTTCCCACTCTGATCCTTGCGCACTCGTGACTCGCACAGTGTCGGAAGTGTCAAACAGTGATCATGTAGCGATTTGTAGATGGCACATTTGCATGCACCGTGCAATTAATTTCTTATATTGTGTCCCTTCTGGTTGTCTGGATCTGACACAAATCCTTAAAAGCGGGTAGATGTATGGCTTACGCACGAGCGCGCGTGACCGGTTGTGCGTGCAGAGCAACGATTTTGCCGATATGAATGCTCTAACGACTGTCCAACGCCACTACAAGATTATACATGACCTGTGGTAATCGAGCGAAGCAGGCGAAATGGTGACCAAACAGCAGCACCGTATGAAACCGAGCCTGGTCGAAGTTTCAAGCGCCTTGGAGATACTGTAGCGCACTTTTTGCCCAGCTGTGCTACTTGTGTGTGAAGGCCGCATGGCGGAACAATGCATGATTGTCAAGATACCACGCGCGTCAAAGGCGTCACTGGCCATCCCGGGTCGATCCGGGCCGCTGAGACCGCCGCGTGGTCTGTCGTCTCGCTCGTGCCAAGGCTCTGGCGCTCCGTGCTGCCTGTTTCTTGCCCGAGGTGTGGCGCTGTGCCTCCTTTGCACCGCCGGTGACTGTCGTCACCGGCGCGGCTCTGACGTCACCGGCGCGGCTCTGACGTCACTAGCGCGGCGCTGGTCGGCGCCCTCATGAACCTTTCAGGCGGCCGCTTGTCTAGGTCACGTGCGTCGCACGCACACGCAACACGAGGACGCCCGAAATGTCTGCTCGCATTGTACTGAGCAGGTGTTGCAGGAAAGTACTGTGATGGAGAACCATGCAATCTCAACACTCTCTGTCACTGTTCTCTCTCTCTCTCTCTCTCTCTCTCCTCTCTCTCTCTCTCTCTCTCTCTCTCTCTCCTCTCTCTCTCTATCTCTCTCTCTCTCTCTCTCTTCTCTCTCTCGCTCTCTCTCTCTCTCTCTCTCTCTCTCTCTCTCTCTCTCTCTCCTTCTCTCTCTCTCTCTCCTTCTCTCTCTATTCTCTCTCTCTCTCTCTCTCTCTCTCTCTCTTCCTCTCGCTCTCTCTCTCTCTTTTGTCTTGCCTCCTCCGTGTTCCACAAACGCGCCGATGGTGCAGAAGATGTATTCCATTTGCTTGTGACACATTGATCCAACGTTCGTCATGCATTCCTCCAAAAACGCACATTAAGTTAACAATCAATGATCGAATGCGGTTGTGATGTTATAAATATATACGTCTGCCATATGATGGCCAACAAAGTTCGGTATACACACCACTGGCTGCACGGCGCAAGAAGAGCCACAGAAACAGCCGTTTGTCTCGACCTGTCCCGACCGGCGGAGGAGGCCGCGGGCCGCTCCCGCGACCCGACCGCAGGACACAGAGCATGCGAAGCTGAAGAGGGTGGTCCGGTTCCTGACTTGTCAGAGTCGGTGGGTGGCGCGGAACATGGCGGGAAAGCAAAATAGGACACGGCAAAAAGGATCCTCCCAAGCGCAAGCTTCGTCTTTCCCGCCGCCTCAAGCAGAACAACACCGCCGACCACCTGGGAACAAACGGAAATGACGTCAGAGCGGCAAGAGCTGCAGGGCTATCGTTGATTTATCACTGCTTTAAGCGTGTTTTCAAAATGTCTTTCAGTACGACGCTTTGCGCAAAATCCATTACGAAGAATACAGCACTTATTGCAGCTCCATGTACTTAAATACACAACTCCTCGCAAAAAAGCAGTCACAGCATCGGTTGGTGTGATGATGTCATACCAAAGACACCGAGCCTTAGTCGTAAATCCGTGCCATCGCTGGATATTTTTTACTTAACGCCGCTCGAAAACAACGGTGAGCATTTCTTTTAGCCCACTCACGTACCCCGTACTAACCTGTCCCAGAATGATGTTCTGGTACTTCTAGGATGGTTTCATGAGCCCAAGTGGGGCGATGGCTCACCTCTATCAGTGGTGTGGGCCGTCCGCGGATGGCGCGTCCTCCCCAACACTGACATCGGACTCGGCGTCGTCGTCGGACGTGTGCGACCCCTCCCCGGCGAGCCGCGTGGACTCGTCCTGCGCGCGCACCGAGAGGTCCAGACCGACACAGTCCGACGACGCCGGCGAGCCGACCGCGGCCGGGCGGGGGAGGACGGGCGGCGCGAAGGCACTACGTTCGCTCTGAATGGTGGCGCTCACCGCCGCCGCTGGGGTTGGTAGGGAGGGGTCGGAGAAGGGTTGGGGGGAGGGGGGCCGAGAGCCAGGGGTGGTAGCGTCCGAGCCAGGGGAGCCAGGGGGGCCGAAGCCCGGCTGTTGCTGGAGCATGTTCATGCGCTGGTGGCGCCTCCACTTCGCTCGTCTGTTGGAAAACCAAACCTGCCATTAGAGAAAACAGAGTTACCTACCAAACAAAGGACCGCCCGACGAGCATGTCGTAACTGGCAAAATCCTAACAATACGTAATCACTAGCTTCTGCCGAAATCTCAGAACGGGCCAAGAACGCTTGGTTTATATTAAGTGAATGCAAATCGCGAGCAAACCATCGACGCCTCAAGCAAATGAGGAAAACCAGATCGACGGTTCGCATATTACGGCACACATCGGGTGGAGAAAACGACACATTAGCAACCAACGTGTGCATACACACGATACGCAAGCAAACAGCACGCTTCAAGCTATCGACTGGATGAGCTGCTTCAGCGGCGCGGTATCTAGACTTTTCCCAGCCTGTCTGCCCGAACGCAGCCTGCCCCATGTGAAGATCCGCCTTTCCTGCGTCCTAGCCCGCTCCCTGACAACGCAGCACCCTACAGCTCCCCGCGCCGCCGGAGCGTGGAGGGGGAGGGGAGGGGGTGCGTGATGACGACCGCCCCGCTAAGTGGGAGCCCGGCGTCATTGAAAATTGCCGGCTCCGGGACGTTGGCGGCGCGCCGGCGCTTTTTGCGACGTCTGCGGCGTTGGCGGCGTTTGCGGTGCGCTGGGGCCACGGCCACGTGCAGCGAGACGCTACCACGCACGCGGAGGGGTAGGAAGCATTCCCGCGGCCCTCCACTGTGACACCGCGCCGTGCAACGGATCGCCGCCGCCGACGCCACGTGACGTCATTGGGGAGCGTGAGACGTTATTGAGTGTAACTCTCGCTCCAGCGGGAGTCGCGTGAAGCCCGGTGCGCCAGCGTGGAGGCGGGGACCGCTCCGAGCTGTCGGGGCGGGACAGGGCGCGGCGCACGGCAGCTTGATCGGGTCGCGGCGGAACAAGGGCGGATTCAGGGACACCTGATGAACCGATCCACCCTTGTCGGATTGACGATGGAGGCGGTGGCGCACTCTCGCCAGGCAAAGCCGGCCGGGCCGGGAGAGAAAATTTACGCAGAGCATGGTGTAGCCGGAGAACCAGCACACCTCTCAAGGGGTACGGAAATCGGGTGATGGGGGGGGGGGGCAGGGGCAAACCCTCAACTTTCTGAAAATCTGGCATTGACCTTATGGCTCCTGACTGGAAAGACCTAACCAAAAATGGCTGTCGGCTCCCCGAACTTGGGAGAGCACCAGTGGGCGCGCGTCGCTCCCTCCCTACACCCGCTCCGCTGGGCTCGCCGCTGCCGGCGAGCGACAAGGCACACCCGAGCCTCGGCCACTAACGGACTTGGTCACGAACCGCCCACAGCCTCGTTACTTATTCACGGGTCGGGCTCTTCGTGTTCGGGCCGCACCGGCGACGGTTAATTAATCAAAAGGAACGGGCGTCAACTCACCGAAATCACTCTAAAATACAAATATTATCTGATTCAGCGCACGCCATCGCCGCGTCGCGCCGCACTCGGCACGCACGCGCCGTTTTTGTCGCTCGGCCGGAGACGGTTTGTTTTTGGGCGCGCAGAATGGGCCCGCTCTGGATTTAATGAGCGGATAGAACCGGACCCGCGCCGGCGAGAGGGGCAGGAGACCGGCCTCGAGCGAGCGGGCGAGCGAGCGAGCGCGAGAACTGAACCCATTGACAGGAACAGCGCCACTGTAGTCGGTTGTGTATCGATACGATAGTGCTGGATTTCCGACACATTTGGGCCGGTCCGATGCGAGACACGCAGGGAACAACTACAGCTATCGTAAAGTATGAGTCAAATGCCCGATGTGGGACCCCCTCACCAGTACATCAGTCAGTGTACCAATCCCGACCATCAAAACAGCGGTGTTGGCGTTACCATGCAGAGGGCAGGAGAGTTTCACCCTCCTTCCTCACCTCCCAGTTCCACTCTCAGTCTCAGTCCCAGTCCTAGCCCCAGCCTCAGCCCCAGCCCAAGCCTCAGCCGCCTTCTTTAGTCTGACCTTCAGTGCCAGCCCCCAGTTCATGTTCCCATCTCTACTTCTCTGCCTCAGCTCTCAGTCTGGTAATTGGTCCCCAACCACAAACACCACCACCACTGCACCGACCTGTACGACCGAACAGCATCACTGACCCGCACCACTGACCAGCATCATTGAACAGCACCACTGATCAACCCCGTCGGTCAGAACTACTGACCGGCAACACTGACCAGCACCACCGACCACGGCCTGACCTTTACCAGCGGCCAGCACCACTGAGAAGCACCACTGACCTGCACGCGGGCCTCGGAGAGCGCGGTGCGCGTGGCCAGACGCTCGCGCGCCGTCACGCACGGGTAGTGGGTCTTCTCGAACTCCTTCTCCAGCTCCTCGAGCTGCTCCTGCGAGAAGGTGGTCCGGTTGCGCCGGAACTTGGGCTGCTCCGAGTCAGAGTCGCGACTCGCCTCCAGCTCACGCCTCGACTCGGACTCTGTGGGCGGAGGTGGTCCGGTCAGGCGGCGTCAGAGCTGACGGACGGCTGAGAAGCGTCCAGACAGCGGGCGGTGGCGACAGGATATGCTTTGATTTATTTGCTTTCAGCTGATATCACCAAAAATGGCGATTGCAACGGTTTCGGAAATACCGGTTTTACCGTTTAGCTAACCAATAAATGTCGGAAAGCGGCCACAGACGGTTGGAGCTGTCGCACTTCCCGGCTGCTGAGCCTCGGCAGTGGCTGAAGTCAGCCGCGACCGGTGCGTCACCAACAGGCGTCACGCTCTCCGAGCTGGTGTCGCGCGGCCAGGTGTCGGTCGGTACCGGGTGGCGACGGCTCGACCGTGTCCAAGGTCACACCACCAGCGTCGCCCCACCACCACCCCTCTCCGGCACGGCCCCCGGCCACCACATCTCCGACACGACCCGGGCGCACCCTCACGTTACCGGGGCATCTCGCAAGCTCACGCGCGGCGCGGGCGGGCGAGGCGGCGCGGGCGGGCCGGCCGCCCGCCTGTCAGCTCGAGTTTGCAGACCGGCATCTGCACGACGGCCTGATCGACGCCTATCAGCTGATCGCACAACAAACGTACGATTTGACGGCGGGACCGATCAGTTATCCCCGAAATTACAAGCTTGTTAGAGAAAGCATTGAGGAGCCAGCCTTCTACACCTCTTCATTAGCGGACAGCCATAACTCAGCTGGAGATAACGTCAGGTCAAATGAAATCATTAGATGGATAATTAGCCGGCCACATTAACCGGATGAGAATTTATAATTGGAGTCGCAGCGGGCACGGTCGGGTGTGCCGCCGGTTATGTCGCCGTCGCGTCGGACACGTCTCCGCGGCGTGCTGGCCGCGCGCCGCGTTTGCCGGCGGCGCGGCGCGGCGATCGCGGCGGCCGGCCGCGCCACGCCTGTCACACTAAAAGCCCGGTGAGCCATTGTACGACGCCGCGAGATGGCGCTGATAGCGGTGGGCTGCTCAGCATCCAATTAACTTTACGAGCGGCTGCACTGGGCGGCTCTGTCATCGCCACCATAAACCACCGCGACCGATCAGCCGGCGCCGCCCCCCCCCCCCCCCCCGAGGGGGGGGGGGGGGGGGATGGACGCATACATGTTGCCGAGGTTTGCGCCGACCTGGATGTCTTCATGTTTCATTGACTGCGGGTTAGCCGTTTCTGAGGTAGTTGGGCATGCCATAAAACGGACGGCATCGTAAAACGATTAGGGTTCACTAGCTGCCTAGACACAAAAGGGCCTATGCGCCTATTCACTGCTCCTGTTCTTAGACAGGCTTCGAATGTCGAGTGTCTGAGTGGCCGCAATATTCTTTAACGCTCTTTGGTTTCACCACAGTACCTATCTGTGTGCCCCGGGCAAAGCGTGGTCTTGAAAGCTGAACTCTCATTTGCATTGGTTAAATGACTTGACACCAAGTTAGTCCTATTCTGGTAGGCCCCGTTTACATGATCGGCCGCTGTGCGTTGGGCGGGCCGGCAGGCCCATTGAAAACGTGCTATTGTAAACGCAGCCCGGTGTGGTTAACAAATGTGCTGGCATTAACATCATTCTTATTCCCTTACACACGTACCGTTATCTAGCAATGTGTTCGTGTATTTCATTAAATTGTTATCTTGTTGCACAACGCTCTGTGATGATGTTGATGTGTCCAACGGCAATGAATGTTAGACAGGTTAGTACCAGAAGTTGTTGCATAAGACTCGTTTGTAGTGCCTAAAGGAATATTACCGCTAAATGCGTGATCCGCACCGAAAATTTTCATTCGCAACCTAAACTCTTGAAAGGCTTTGATGCCATCTTCTCATTATTGTCATGCCCCGCAACTGGATAAGCGTTAAAGTGCCAGAAAAGTGAGGTCATTCCCGACCTCACCTCTGTTCCAATATAGCTACGACCAAGTTACTCATGATGTTGATTCGAAGTCGCGACTCAGTTGACCACTCGCTCACCGCAAGCTTAAGTCTATCCAATGACAGCAAGGCCAATAAAGCATCAGGCCCAATAAGCCACGTGTCAGCGGAGATTTACGAGCCCCACCCGCCATTCCGCATAGGGGAGGGGGCATCCCACGCTAGGGGCGAGTGCCATCAATTTGATCTGCTAATCCGGGCGCGTCTGTGAGCTATTCCGGTGGGAGTGGCGCCCCGATCGCCTCCCCTCTGGATGTCCGCGGCTGCGCTGACGGCCGCTCTGATCCCCCCTCATACAAGGCCAGCGGCATACACATGTAGTCGGCTCGAGCACACGTACCGCGCCGAATGTCCGGGCGTCGAAGCGTTGCACCGCGGCGCTAAGAATAGTGCCAGGTCATGAATGATATTTAAATGTAGTTATACGAAGCCGCAGCGTGAATGAAGTCGTTAAGGCTTTTGAACTGGGCGTTGACGGCTGACCACTTGCTCCAACGTGAATGTGTTCTCAACACTTTCGCTTGAAGCACGGGGAAACATGCAGCCACATGGTGAGACGGTGACTAAGATTAGAAGCGAACCCATCGAGCTAGATAGGCGGTGTCGCAGTGAAGCCACTTACTCAAACTTTGAGAAAGTATCTCGGTTTGGCGTGTGTGGGCTTTCAAGATGTAGCCGTGTTGATCGAACTCCTGCGTACTGTGTTCTGAGCCTGTCCTGCACTTATATTTAGACCGAGCAGACGTAAACTGTCCTTCAGACTGCAGAAGCCTCGATGACTGAGCTCTTGAGACTGGATCAAGAACACGGACCCCTAAACAGTGCTCCTGCCACCTGTTACATTCCACTCCAACCTCAGCAGCCCTCTTACACTGACCCCTCGGGTGACCCCCCCCCCCCCCCTGAGGGTTCGCTGTCGCAGACCCAGCGCCAGCTGACCCCTCTGCGCCGCTCCCACCGCACACTCCCCGCCGGCGCCTTGCGCGCGGCCGCCGCTCACCCTCGAGGCTGGGCTTGGGCGAGCTGGAGCTGGCCGACGAGGCCGTGTCGCCGGCCGGCGGCGTGACGGTCGGCCCGACCGGCGGCGTCGGCGCCAGGCCCGGCCACACCGCCGCCGGGTACGGCAGCGCCGACGCGTACGGGTGGTAGAAGCCGTAGCCGGCGGCGCGCGCGAACTCGGCCGCCGCCCGCTCCGCCGCCCGGTTGCGCAGGATGCGGTTGATGCTGCTCACGCTCGGCGCCGTGTTGTTGGTGCAGACGCCTGGCCAACAGAGGGGAGGGGTGTCATGGGTGCAGCGAACGTCTGCCGAACAGAGCGGGCGGGTGTATCGAGAGTGTATCGAGGGCGTGTCGTGGGTGTGTCGTGGGTGCCTAGGTTTGCAGGTCGAGGGGGTAAGGTATGCGTTGTTAGCATCATAACACAAGGATCATGCTGGGTGCCCTTGCCCCTGTATCACGAGCGGAGGGCTGGATACGTTACTGAAGCACAGGCACGTTGTTTGCGGGATTGCGCATCGAGCACTTGCGCACATGTCGTGCAAGACTTGCACATTCGGATCGCGTGACGCAAGCTTGTTTGGATGTGCGAAGCGATTCCACTATATATTGGCACAAGCTGTTACACAACTGGTCCATAGTCCGTAAAAAGGCTCTGTTTGGCTCGAAAATGAGTTGAATGTTATCCTCTCCAACTACAAGTCGCCGCTTAAAGGAAATCTGGTTAAGTTTCACTGAACGCGCTGTAGGTTATAAGTACATATTGCGATATCGCCATATTGCCATCGTGATTTGCTCTCACATTGTGTCCAAGAAATAATCTGCCAACTTTCAAGAGAACACAGTGACTAAAACAACATATATCAAAGAATTTTAAGATTAAAACCGCAGAGAGGCTGTAGGATGATAGCACACAGCACTCCTAAAAATCTTCTTGATGGTTGTTGACCTCAATGCCGCATTGAGTGTTAGGCAGTGGCCCTTCTAAGAACAGGGGATCGGCAAACGTTTCAGCCATAAGCTTTCTAAGACACTGAAGAAGGCTTATGGTCGAAACTTGCTCTCATAAGAGCTACGTAGCACCTTATGCGACACACAGCCCAACAGCCATCAAGAAAACATTTCAAGTCAGCTATTGCCAGATGTTGGCTTTATGTTTACTGCCAACCGTGCATGACGACTGAGCTGCAAGTCCCGCAAGTCTGGATAAGTGCGGCGATACGACACAATATAGAATCAAGACATGGGGACTTGGGGAGGGGCTTATGTGAAATGAGTGCAGAAAACCCTGGAAATTGCTCAATGCCTTATCGTTGAAGCAAAAACACGGCGCCTTAAGGTCGTCTTTTGTCCTGCCCGTAGCCGCTGTTGTGGAAGTACAGTGAGAAAGAACTTTCGTGGGGTGTTTTTGCGGCGAATGTCAAAAGCCAGAGACAATGACCATTAGAAAGGGACAACGAAAAAGAGCCGCAGTAAAGCGAGGAGCCACGTTGAGCGGCGTGGACCCCAGAGACAGCGGGAGTACCACGCACTACCAAAGCATCGGTCGGAATATGACGCCCGGCGAAAGCAACGCAAACGTTTCCTAATAGAACGCAAAGTGTTTGGCTATTGTTACCAATGCTGCTCATGTGAGCTCTTGGAAAATAATTGCAAATTATCACTAACATGTGATGGTATTTGAGTTGGCTCGTCATCGGTTTCAACCGCCGTGATTGGCTCAATGAAATCTATTTGCGAAATCCATTTCAGCCCTGGCGGCAGAGCGTTTAACTCAACAAGAGCTTGGCCAACTCCTAAGTTGACCCTAACTCCGCTACGGTCCCGGAGACCCTGGCAGTCAAGAAACCCAGAGATGTGTGGCCAGAACGTCTGAGCTTGTGCTGTGAGATCCTCGAGGAGAACTGTGGAGATGCTCCACTGCTATGCTTAAGCCTAAAGACAATTCACCATTCAAACGGAAAGGCGTAAACGTGACAGCTAACTGCGCAAGCTTCTTCAGACATCACATGCCAGGTCCGCCACCGCACCGGCGCGGGCACCCGCCTGCCACCCTGACTCCACACAGGCGAGCACCTGTACCCCGCCAGACAGACGGTTTCTGCCCCGCCTGGTGCCCGACTCCACATAAATGTGCACCTTTACCCCGCCAAACGGGCGGCCTCTGCTCCGCCTGGTGTCCTGACTCCACACAGGCGAGCACCTGTACCCCGCCAGACGGGCGGCCTCTGCTCCGCCTGGTGTCCTGACTCCACACAGGCGGGCACCTGTACCATGCCAGACGGACGGTGCCTGCTTCGCCTGGCGCCCCAGCCGACCGGCCGGCCGCCTGCTCGCTCGCGGTCCGTGCTGTCGGCGGCCGATTATAGCCATTGGAGACACGAACGTAACCGGGCGCCGTTGAGGGCGCAGGCTCCGCCCAGCGCAAATTGAAGGTGATCAATAATCAACTCGGCCGCCAACTATTATTGTCCGTAGGAAATTGGGCTTGGCGCGGAGATAAAAACACATGCTATCGGCGGGAATAATGATCAAGTTTTCACCGCGCCGTGTTCGTCTACTGCGTTTCCATTGTTAAAGTCTGCGTCGCCCATCAGATAGCCGGCGCGATTATTTGAATTCCAGCACATCATTTATTTGAGGCTTATCAAAGCTGCTTCGATCGGTCAGATATGGGGCGTCATTACATTAGGGCTGGCCACCAGATAGGGCGGTGGAATAGCCAGATTGGTGGCATCTGAACAAATCTTGTAACACTGACAGCCTGGCTTCGTCTCTGATAACACACATGAACCGCTCACGTAGTGGAAGCGAGCACGCAATGTTTTTGTGAGCGTGCTGCTACTGAATAGCTGTACGCTTGGTGAGCTTTCCCTCGAACAATAGATGTTTTTTCGAGGTGGTTATCTTCGATGAACACAAAGCTATGGAGATACCTTAAAGAGCCGCAGGCAAAACAAAGTGGCATTCGTCAGAACAAGGCAAAGCGAAGGAATGCAAGTGCGCTTCCATGGCGCAATTAGTTAGCTGTTCAATGACGACACATGCCGTTGAATTCACTAACGCTCCAAGAGATTAGCAGCGTAATTTATTGTTCCGCCGTCCGCCGTCTCATAAAGCCATTACACTTGCCGACTGGTCGTAACATTCCATCCACTTACGTCTGAACACCGGGAGTTCAACTTTCACCGGCCGATCACCGACAACACAGTCGTCCAGCCCGCCGGCTCCAGCGGTGTTGAGACAGCCGACAGCTGGGCACCTCCGGCCCAGGAGATGCCGCCTGTCGCCTCTCGACAAGAGGCACCTCCGGCTCAGGAGATGCCGGCCAGCCGTCACGTGGCATTACTCTGCGGTCGCGGACCCGGCCGGCGGCGGGCCATTTGTTCTCCTAATGACACCGCTGCCGACACGGCGGCGCGCACGGGACGCTCGGGAGGGCGGGGAGGGGTACTCCATTCAGCAGGATGGAGCGGCGAAACGTGGCAGCGAGCGCACCAAGCTCAAACAGAACTGAGCTCTGTAGCACCGCTGCAAATTAGCGACAACCACATGCACGAAGCTACTTCCGACTTCCCCTCTCCCAACTGCCTGGGACGTGCACTGTCTGTGCGTGTTTCCGTGCAAATATCCACTCTTTGCGGCGGGGGAGGGCAGAGCCGCCGGACTCATACGCCGCTGCACGCGCGCAGCAAACACCACGCCCCCGCCTGCCGCTGCAGCCGCGGTGAGGAAGGACACCGGCTCGGCGGCGCGGCCGCCGGCGCAGCGGTCGCCGCTGCGGGGGACACGTCCGGCGCCGGGCCGCAAGCTCACCGCGCCCGCGCCCGAGCTAGCGACGGCCGCACGTCCCCCGCGGCGCAGAAACTGGCTGTCAGCGCTCGCTGCGCGGCCGGGCGGCCGAGACAGACGGACGCCGCGGCGCGGTGGACGCTTCGAGCCGGGTGATCGCGACAGGTCGCCAGACGGAGGACGCCCCCGCTCCCGCCCCCACCCGGGCGTCCCGGTGCGACGCCGGCGCTCGAGCCCGATCGCGGCGTCTGGCGGCGCGGCCCGGGCGCGGTCGGCGGCGCGCCGGCGCGGTCCGATTGGCCGCCATCGGGCGCGGGCCGGCGCTCGGCCGTGACCGGCTCGGTGCGGCGCGCGGCGGCGCCCATGCCAGCCCATTGTGGGCCCGTGACGCGGCCGATCGGCTCACACCCCGGCCCGGCCGCCGCCGCCGCCGCTGGAATGTGGAGTCGACTCGAGTGGTCGCCGCCGCCGCCGCTGAGCGCCGCCGAGCGCCGCCGAGCGCAGCTGCGGTGCCCGAGAGGGGAGGGGAGGTCGCGTGATCCTAGCGCCGCTGGACCGGTGTCGGGGTGATCATGTGGTTTGGTTTCGAGAGGACGGGTTGTTGCAGTCCGGTCCCGTGTGGGTGGTGCGACACCGGAATGTTGCGGGGGTGGGGAAAGGGTGATGTGATTTTGTTTGGATGGACGGAGAGTGGGCTTTTCGGAAGCGCTCGATGTGAAGGAGCTTCTCATGACACCAGCGTCGGCTTGTCAAGATCCCAGCCCTATGCAAGCTCCTCGCCGTTGGTCTTACCAGTTGAACAGAATAAATGGACTGATTGGATAAGTTAACAAATGCGTCGTCCCGAAACAGAGGAGCGTAACTCACATATGTCGTAAGCGAGACCCAGTCCAAAAAGGCAGTGATGTGACCCAAAACGGCGATGGATTTCGCCCTGAGAATCGCATCATTGTGCAGTCCGTTTCACTTGCGCTTGCTATGCCAGATATGCAACTGAATAGCACAAGGACAGACGTTTGCAGCGCTGAGGCTTGGAGATCATTTTGGAGGAGATCACGATCAATGGGTGCACCGACTCTCGTTCACCCGTTCACAGCAGCTTTCCGGAGGCATTCCCTCTTTGCTCGTAACCCCATACCAGAGTGAGAAGAAGTCAACGAAACGATGTGCCGCAACTGGGGTTCGTGAGCGGCGGTGTAACAACCGCGTTAAAAAAACAACAGGGCTCATGATTTACAGGCTGAGCCGGCGGCAGTAGCCAACTTCGGCCCGCGCGATTCACAACAGCATATCACGATGCAGGGCGCGGCCGCGTTTCGTCATTCTCCCGTTGTTTATAAAGCCATTGTGTATCGGCTCGTTTCGCCAGACGGCTTCTCTCAGCGGCAGGGCGTATAATGCACGGAGCGCGCCGCCCAATGTCCCAGACGCGCCACGTTTCGCCACGTGAGCCGCCGCGCGGCCCAACAGAGGCGGCCGCCGGCCAATCAAAGGCCGCCGCGGCCCCGGCGTGTCGCAACGGCGGCGACGCTGCAATGGCCCGCATCGACCCGCGGCGACGGTGGCCGGGACACTGGTGTGAGCAGCTGATGGTGCGGTGGGCAGCTGACGCTCAAGATAGGCACCTGGCCGCTCAAGCCAGGCTTGGCCGAGGAGAGGCCCTCCAAGCCGCCCTAGGGTTGGCGCCGAGGTTGTCCAGAGGAGAGGCCCCGTCGCCGGAGGCCTGGTGCCGATTGTGATCGAAGAAGAGACCCCGTCGCTGGAGGCCTAGTGCCGGGGGTGATCGGAGGGGAGGCCCCATCGCCGGAGGCCTCCTGCCGAGGGTGTCCGAGGAGAGACCCCGTCGCCGGAGGCCTGGTACCGAGGGTGTCCGAGGAGAGGCCCTGTCGCTGGAGGCCTAGTACCGGGGGTAATCGGAGGCGAGGCCCCCTCGCTGGAGGCCTAGTGCCGGGGTGGTCGAAGGGGAGGCCCTGTCGCCGGAGGCCTGGTGCCGAGCGTGATCGGAGGGGAGCCCCCCCCCCCCCCGCTGGAGGCCTGGTGCCGAGGGTGTTCGGAGGAGAGGCCCGGCCATCCCAATCAAACACACAGCGCTGTCGCTCGCCCCAAAAACAACAAACTGCAGGCCCCTCCTGCTAGCAAGCGACAACAAACAACGCTGCTTGCCAAGCAAGCTGGGGGCCCAACTCCTTTGCGCATGAAAACAAACATAAACGTTGATGTTGCCGGCCTTTGCCGTTGCGTTTGGGGTGATGTGTTCAGATCGCAGCCCGTTCCGGCAATCCCTCCCGCCGCAGGGCCAGCGCAGGCTCGGCAGCACTCACCGTCGGCCACCAGCTTCTCACGGATCTCCCAGGCGAAGATGGTGGGGTTCTCGCGCTTGTACTGTTCGATCTTGTTGACCACCTGCGGCGTGGCCACCTTGGGCTTGCTGCCGCCGATGACGCCCGGAGGACGCAGCGAGCCGCCTGCAACGTCAGGCGTCATTAGACGTCACCGACAGTCCGCATGGGCACACGCCATTCATCCGCGGAGAGCGGGCCCGTCACACAGCTCACGCAGGTGACCGGCAGTGTCTCTCAATATCAATCATGACACACACAGGACGCTGAGGACGCTGGTGCGCTCTGGTGAACGCAAAGTACGCACCTACGCTCCGCGCGTGATGGGAAATGACATCCAGGGATTGTCATTATCGAATTACAAACGTCTTACCCTCAAAGGTGAGTGGTTATACAGCGCTTTGCGTGTCGGATTACGTTAACACGCCTGCTCAAAAGCTGCGTACGTCGAGCTCAATACCGCTGTAGGAGTTCGCCGCCGTCTTAGCGTCCGCATCCACGGCGACATTCCGGGAATGACGCCAAAAATGATGCCCGCAGCATTCCCTCCCCTACGGCAGCGACCCTACGCCTCCGCCGCCGCCTCCCCCCCCCCCCCCCCCCCTCCATCGCCAGGCCGGCGCTATTGGCACCAGCCTGCGGCGATATGACCCCGACCTGTGGCCGGTACCGTGTGGGCCTCACGTGGCCGCCGGCAAATAATGTAATTCGACCCGGGCGGCCGATCGGCGATCCGAGCGCCCAGGGCGTCACGCACGCACGCCATGTACTTTAGCGCAATTGCCGACGGCCGAGCGGCCGCGGCGCCCGCGGCCGCCGGCATACATGTCACCACCGGGCCTATCTGCACTCCAATCGGCTGGCGGCGGTGCTCGGCTCGCTAATTAATTAACCCCGCGCCGCGCAGGCTCCGGCCGCGTCAATTACTTAGGCGGTTTCGCCTTCTCATTCCGGGTGTTTGGCGCCGCGTCAAACCGGTTTAGGCGCGTGGGCTTCAGCCCGGGGGTCACGCACGTCGCGAGGGGTCCGGGCGCGATCGCCGGGCTTCGGTGCTGTGGCGGTGACCCTGGGTCACGGCGGCGCCGCGGGCTCGACCCGGTCACGCGTCTCCGCAGCAGACTCGTGACGGCCGGGCCAGGCGGGGCCCAATGAGAGGCATCGCCTCTGAGAGGCACTGTAGTGCCGACGCGCCGGCCAGGTGGACCGCCGCCACCGTCCGGACCGACAAACCGCGCTCCCGACACCCCACGGGGTTTGATCATGACGACGCTCGCGTGCCCCGCCCGCTTGGCACACACCTGAACAAGCTCGTCATCGGCCGGCCTCAATGCGTGGATGCCGCCCTCACTGGGCTGAGCAAACACCGCCGAGTCGACGGCTGAACGCGGCGCGAACAGCTGAGAGTGGCAGCGGCGGACTCAGCAGGGGTCGCGGCGGCAGGGTCGGAATCAGCACGGGTCGCGGCGGCAGGAGCGGGCCCAGCAGGGGTCGCAGCGGCAGAGCGGACTCGGCAAGGGTCGCGACGGCAGGGGCGGACTCAGCACGGGTCGCGGCGGCAGGGGCGGACTCAGCAGGGGTCGTGGCGGCGGTAAAGGTCGCGGCGGCAGGTCGGACTCCGCAGGGGTTGCGGTGGCAGGGGCGGGCTCGGCAAGGGTCGCAGCGGCAGGGGCGGAATCACCACGGGTCGTGGCGACAGGGTCGGACTAACGGTTTGTCATAACGGTGGGCGCACAAGGTCTGAAGTTCGTACTAAGAAGGGCGCCTGCTAGTTTGGGGATCAGCCGCGAGCAGTAGTGGGGTGCGCCTTAAAACAACGGACATGTCGAACTGTTGGCTTAGCGACACAGCCTGTTGATTCAGCGCGGGCCCGGCGGAACTGGGCTAAAGCCGCGGCACGGCCGGTTTCTGACACCGGCTTCATAACGTGTAGCTTTGAGCCAAAATCTACAGGTGGTGCCTCCTGAACATCGTGGGTGAAAGAGCTCATTGTCCGAAGCGAAACACCGTTGGAAAAAGAACTCAGTGTCTAGCGTGGCGTTGAGTTCATCCTTTGCACACAAAAAGGTTCAGTTAAAAGTTAACAAACTTGCGCACTCAAAGGCATTGAAAGTTGTATCTGCGACTGCTGCGCTACGCATCGGCGTCACGCACTTTCACTGGATCCGAGGAGATCCTCTATGGTCCTGGCGACACACTGGTCCTTAGTTCGGATCCGGGCCCGAACAAAGTCCCACCGAGCCCTCACGTGGCTCCATGCCAAGGCTCCCGTCCCGCCGAGCCCGCCTCAGAGCCGGGCCCGTGCATCAGAGAGTGAGCTCAGTGAGCTCAGTCTCACTGAGCAGTTGGAGACTCACTGAGCAGCTTGGTGACGGCCGTCTGCTGGCTGATCATCTGCTGCGCCAGGTCGTAGGGCCGCATGCCGTACCGGCCGAGCTCGAGCAGCCGGGCCGGCGACATCTGGGACATCTGCGACATCTGCGACATCTGCGACATCTGCGAGAGGCCGTGCGAGCTGTAGAGCTCGCGCAGCTGCGGCGGGATCGCACCTGCAACGCCGGAGGTCACGGTCAGGTTGTGGTCAGCCGGTGCAGAAGGTCACGAGAGGCCATGACGCTCCGCGGTGGGACGGAACGCAACGGAGGGGAAGGGGGAGTCACAGCTGAACAGGTGGGACGTGACAGCAGCGGGTGCCACTTGAGGTATGCGCTCTCATATGCCAGTACGTTGGCAAAGCCCAATTATTACATATTTTAGCAATCAGCGCATGATAGCTCATGGGAAGATGGGCCTAATAATCTGAAATTATGTACTGAAAGAGCCTAGATTCTTTTTTTGGAAACTTACACCGCTGGTAACAGCGGCCGCGCCAGATATTGACAGGTGTGTGGCTGGATTCCAAAAGATCACGACAGACCCTGAGTGATTATCGACCAAAACATGGCAGTACAAGTTTTACAGGAGATCCCTTGATAAATCAAAGCCGGACCTTGAGTCTTAAAATATTCGCCGAAAATGTTTCGCAAAAGGAACTCGGGCCCATGCAGGGTGTACTGACATGCTTCTATGAGACGTTACCCTGGTTCCAGGGGATTTCCAATCCTGTGACACAATGCCCTGGACATGGATCTTGAATGCAAAGGTCATTGAGCCTGATCCAGCTAGATGCATCGGGAATGCATACAGCTCGAGATCGTTTTTGATACCCAGCCCTACATGTGGAAATGGAATTGAAAAGAATGGCAGTTTCCAAATAGGAGTCATCTCTCGCGACATTGTGATGGTTCTTTCGGTGAATCTTGCTGCGTCAAGTAAACCTGGTTCAGGTCAAGTTCCGGAAACGTGTCTGTTAAAGGGACGACTTGACATCACACCCTCAGCATGGGTCAGCGGTGTCACACGGCTCCGGTTATGTCCTCCGGACCACATCCTTTTCGAGGAGTGCAGTCACCTCCAGCTGCATAGCGAGAGATCCGCAACGGTCCGATCAGGGAGGGGAGAAGCATGGCACGCTCACTCCACGAGGGTAGCAGTATAACTCCCGCAATGATCCGTAAGGCAATCGTCGGGAGGGATTTTAGCTCTCACACGCTCCTGGATGTGACTGACCCCCGCCAGAGCCTCACTAACTCTACATGATTACGTGAGATGTAGACTACGCGCAACATGCGGTCAGTGCCTATGGTAAGGCACTTTAGGTGCCTTGTTTCGATCGTGCTAGACCATGCACATCATTCAGCAAATCAGCCAAAGCTGAGCTTCTTTTTCCCCCTCAGTTCCCACGAAGCGTCACTGCTGCCGCTGAGAGGGGGGGGGGGGGGGGGGCAGCGGAGCGTCGGCAGGGAACATGCTCCCCTGCCCTGACGCACCGCTCCAGCCCAACAAAATGGCCGCCCGGCCGGGCCGGGCCGGCGCGCCGAGTTCGTCACCGCCGCGCCGGCCGCTCTCTGAGCGCGCCAAGCTGCGGTCTTCGCGCGGTTTCTAACACGATTGCGGTGATTCCTGGTCGTGGCGGCTTACGGACCACCGCGGGGAGGGACGAATGCGAGTCCTCGGCCGCTTCAGGTGAACTCTCCGCACGCCCACGCTTTCGCTGTAGTCCTTACTGAGCACGAGCGTGTCTAGGGCCGCTGTTCGGGCCACACATGCGCCAAGCCACACAACGGCCACACATGAGCCAACGGCCACACGTGAGCCGCTATTGGCGCCTGCTGCTACGTGCGTGCATGGAAATTCGGAGGACTGTGGTGTCTAGGTAATGATCATTGAGACCTTCCGCGTCGTTCGTGAACATTACCTCGAACCCGTAACGGTTTAGGCAAGTCTTCGTTGAAACCCAATTCTCCAAACTTTATGCCAACGTGCTCAAATTTGTGGAAACTGTCCCAGGCACGCCCGCGTGTCACTTGACGAGCCTTCACGTTTGAGGGCGATTTCCACCCGCAGCCTGACCATAAACGACCAGCGACAATGTGTTGCAGCCAATTTGTCGAGACACCATGACTAATTTTGCCCGAATTACACGGCGTACACCCATCACGCTGTATGAGTTATCCTTTAACGATGCCCTCCGTGAATAATTGAAAACCTTAGACAATAAGTGCAAAACGGTGCCGAACTATAAAATGCGTCAAATTGTTGCGTAAGCGTGCTACTGTAAGGCTGTCGGGCCATGGTCCTGTCTGTGACCGGCCACTAGTTGATTGCGGTCAGCGAGATACTGCGTCATTTGCATGGCCAAATCGCCAGGCAATCCGCCACCTATGCACATGCCTCGCCGCCAGGCGGGCCAATCCACGTCCAAGCCCCTCGCGACCGCTGTCGCTCGGCGCCGCCGGCCGGGGCCGGGGAGGGGCCCGTCCGCGGCACCGACGCCATGTGCCGCTAAACAGACACAATTACTCTAATGACCGATGCCCGAGGCAAGTGAGCGCGCCGCTACCCGGACGCGGCCGACGCCAAATGGACGGCGCGCGAGGACGCGGGTCGAGGCCGGCGGCCGGTCGCCAGCGCCCGGCGACGGTCGTGCGCGCCGGCAGGGTCGCGGGCGGCGGCGTGGCAGGCAGCGTCGGGCGGGGACGCGCGGCGAGATCAGCAGGGTCTCAAGTAGACCCCGGGGTGTGACGGTGCGACGGCTTAGTTGTGGAGTAGAGGCTGGGAAGGGTAAGAGCGGGCTAAAGTCTGCGGTTGGCGTGTGTTTCCTCTCCGTTCTTTTTATTATTGGGAGATGCGTTGAATCCTCTACTTTTATAGTGGGAAAATACGGCGCTTGAAAGATGTGGAACGGAGTGGGATGGTTCCTGCTTCCCTTGATGGTGGCTCTTTTTCAATAGGCTTTACTCCATTTTAGAATTGCCCGAAGTGTGTTTCGCGCCAATACTGACAGGTAAGAGCTTCTGGGGATGATTAGTGGAGTTTTAGGTCGCGTCGACTGTAAATGGTCACGCGCCCATAGTAAAGGCCACAGAATGCCTGTGTTTATTAACCTAAACGTGACCATGGCCGGTTGCCATGGTCCCTGCAAACATCGCAGGCGTTGCGGTTTGAAACTCAACTTGATCTAGAATTGTGATAATATACAGCGTAGCCTGTCATCACGAGCAACAGCCCGAAATTCCGTCCAAGCAGCCCGGTAAAAGCGACTAATGTTGAAATTTCTCCCGAGTGCGCTGTCACATCAGTGCTCGCATGTGTGCTTTGCCTTAGCCCTGCGCCGAACTCCTCTTGGGAATCCTCGTGATGCTAACCAGGCTGCACTTCTGACGTCGATGACTCTCTGGACCGAAGGCCCCGCAAAGACGGAGAAGAGTTCTTGTTAATCGGGTGCGCGGCGGCGGCCCAGCTCCCGACGCATAAACTTCACGCCTCGCGTGGAAATTCCGCGCGCTTTGTGTGGCCGGCGCGAAGAGTCCTCATTACAAGCGGCTCGAATTTCGTCACCAAGGAGACGTCAGCTGACAAAGGATGTCACCGCGGAACGGGCGAAGTGTGACAATGGTGGGTGACGCCGGGCCGATGGCGGCGCAGAGCTGGGCCCGCCCGAGCGCTCCCAGCCGCTCCGACAGCCGGCGCGCCATGGCGCCGCGCCGCCGAGGGGTGACGCCTCCCGACGGCGGCGGTGCCTGCCGGAGGCGGGAGGAGCAACAGCACGAGAGCCGCCTCAGGGAGATGCTGGGCAGTAGCTGGCAGGAGATGGTCTTAGGAGGAGTGGACATCAACCCCGTGCAGATGAGACGCATTTGTTGCCGAGTGTCGCTCCGCCAACAAAGCTACGCTTTCGCCAATATAATTATTCGCTGTTTCTGGTGAAACGCATATGACAAGCAAGGCTTTCATTAGTCCGTCGGCTATGACATAAATGAAAGCACTAGCATTTTTATTTTCGGAATATTCTACGTGATATCAATTGTCAGAAGCCCGTACATTTTGAAGTTGGCATTGCTTAAAATATCGCAGGGTATGCCTTTATTGGACCTAATGCAAGGCATGCTTTTTATGTGTGACAAACGTTTTGCATCACCTAAATGCAATGGTTTAGTAGGTCGTGCTTATTTCGTATCGTCAACGGTATTGTCGTACAATCGTGCTTATTTCGTCGATCAGATAATTTATGTTTAAGATGTTACGGATTGCAGTGTTAAAATGAACGCTCTGTCTAGGCTTCCTAAGCAAATGAATGCTTTCATCCACTGTCTGCTTTATAATTATCGCATCAGGGGGCTGGCATGACCGTCCTTCGGCGTTTAAAAGTAGATATGCACATCACACAAGTGGTCCTTCCGGAGTTTTCGTTTAGGCTCCCCGACATCGGACCAAAACCACCGGAAAGTCATCAAAAAGAACAGGAGACCACTGAGAGCCAGCAACAACACCACGCTTTGGGGATCTGATCTTTGGCCGGCCAATGCATTTCGTGGAGCTCCGCTCCAAATGTTTCCTGTAACATAATGTCCACAGCGCCGTTCTCCTTCAAACATCCCCCATTCCAAGTGCGCGAACTGGCAGTGATAGTCAAATAAGACAAAACAACGACCGAGCCGGCACCAAATCAATAATCAGAGAAACTTAAAACCAGTAGGCAGCAGTGAGGACGTAAACACGTCGCCAGCTACAAGTGCCACGCATTAGCCAGCGCCGAGTTTTACGGCCAATTTCAGTCTAGCTCCAGCTGTTAACCAGTAATCGAGAAACACGGCCCAGCGCGGGCAACACCGCCCGGCGCCAGGCACACCAGGAGCACAAATAACGGTGAAACGTCTGTGTTTGTGAGAAGCTGTTGTTGAAGTCGGGCGGGAGGTTTACTTAAGGCCTTTGACGGGAGCCGGGGCCCGCCGGGCAAGGCCGCTAAACACGCCTCGCACAACACAGCCGACTAGCGGGGCCTTTTCGGGACGGACGGGCCTCTTCTGTGATCGTGCTCTGCCATCGCCTGCGATGTGTTTGGTTGCACCTTTCAACGCGCGAAGAAAGCCCAGAGTCCCGAAATCTGTCGAAATTCTGTGATGCGTCTCTCAGAACAGAGTAAAGCTCAAGAGACTATTCTTTAGATTGTGTTTGGTCGGAGCGGTGCCTCTCATCATTATTGCGAACTTTGTTTCCATTTCTTACAGCACATTTCTGGGATTTGTGTTTGGTTAGGGGCATTGCACACCAAGGCGATGACAAACCACAACATCAAATCAACTGTTGAAGGAGGAGCATTTTGATGCAATTGTGATTGACAAGTTGCTCCAAGAGCACATACTTACTGGGTCCAACCTATGCATTTTGAATGTGTGACATACATGACAAATGCATCCATAGCACCTAAGATCATCATCATTGCGATAAGCATAATGGCTTGTACCATCGCTTCCGTGGGCAACAGGAAGGAAGGACCTTCTACATGAAGAACATAGGCCATTTGAACGCTACATGATCCCCTACCTGTGGTTGCACACTACTTAAGCAGTCGTCTGTTAGCAAAAAGTCACCATGCAAACCAGATAGGGTGCTTGGGTTGAGAGTGCGTCAGCGTGTTAATAAAGATTCAAGACTGGATGGAAAATAACGCCTCTTACAGACGACTTCAGGCTCCCAAATTTGGAACCTTCGTGATTTCGATCTCCTATTCATGACCTTGTCATGCTTTTTTCGATTTTGGTTTCTTTCGGGGCATCGGCAACGATACTTCGGACTCCACGGCACTTTTCACTGAGACGATTTTTGGCACACTGGCCTACGAGGCCATGTTTAGTATGTCCGTGGCGGCCTGCCAGCGCAGTTTTGACAAATCCGTGGCACGTGGCGCTGACAGCAACGGACAGCACTGACACCCGCCTGCTCAGCCTCGCGCGGCTCGCCCCCTGCCCAGCGTGGACGGGGTGGGATGTGGGCCGGTGGAGCCGGTGGGTCGCCACCGCGGCGAGCCGTGGCCGCCGGCGCACCCGTCGAGATCAAGCCGATACCAGCGCGACGGCTCTCTGTTAGCCGATTGTGCAGACATTGGTATTTGCAGAGTCGATGACGGTTACACCGGCCGGTCATCTAATCTGTTTAATTAACACTGATTTCCCACTTAGTATACTGCTTTCCGGTTTCGATAAGGCATCGACACGCCTCTTCTGCCAACAAATGACCAAGTTTGGGCGCGCTTTATCGTTAGCCCTGCCCTGGGGGGATCGCTTACTGCCAGTCCAGCCGTTGTCTGTGGGTGCACCTCGGCCACGGTTTCCATGCGGACTAGTAGGCTCTCATGAATCTTTGATACATTCTGGTTAGGATAAAAACCGTACAAACATCACTGCCCGATTAGAACGGAGACCAGATTTTTAGTGCAGGGAGAAATATCACACGTGTCCTGGTCTGATTGGTGGTGAAAATGGAGCTTTAAGGTTTCGTGTCACCCACCTTTTTTTCCTACAGCCTTTTCGTGTCATTAGATAAGATGAGCGTTTTCCTCCAATCAAAGGGTAAAAGAGAGCTTCAAAATGAGTGTAGGTAGAGCGACATTTCATGTACTGTACCTTAACGAGGTAAGCTGTTCGTGCGTTTGACATATTTTTCTTGTGTCATACATTTGCTCTTAAAATATATTGCATTCATTTCAATTGTCAGTGTTTTCGTTAACCTGACAGCAATGAACCCACGGCATGAATGTTTCTACTCTAATCACATTCACACCTTCGGGGTGATATACATTCTAGTGCACATTCGTCTCTTTCAAAGCTCTTGCTCAGTTTTGTCTTTGAAATGATCAAAGCTGTCAGGTGGTACGGGGAATAAAGCGCTCCTTCCTCAAGCATTGAGAAAGATGACAAATGCGTCACTCACTGAATTCGCTCAAACACTCTGGATAGCCAAATACCTTCTGCGATTTTTGATCCCGCTCTCGTTATGGGCCACTAAAACATCGACGGCGTATTTAGTCGTTGATCGCAACTAAAGCAAACACCACAGCCAGTCCGTAAAAGTTAACTGTACTGTGCGAAACCGTGCGTCAACTCAGCAATCATAAGGCGTGACGGGTGCGATGATAATATGGAAACCACATCGAAAAGAAGTCTCATCGACATTATGCAGAGGTTGTGGCGGCGTTCATACACGATATGCGATTTTTAATTTAGATAGCCAAGTTGTTGCTGTTAGGTGCAGGAAGGCGAAACTTGAAATATGTAACCACAACCCATTTATAAGAGGCTGGACCATTTTCAACGAGATAATCATGCTCGTGTCATTGTGACAGAACAATAATTAAAATGACTTTTCCATAATAATTTTGAAACGTATGTGTGCTTATCATCCAATGGGCCTCATAACGAAACATATATATGCTCTAAAACATGCGCAAAACTAAGTGGAAACACTACCTAGAACTACGTTGGAATCTTAATGATGCCTGCAACGGACAACAGTCCTGGAAATGACGCCAAAAGTCCCTCCACATCTCTGAACAGCACCACACCAACATCCCGCAGTACCCACACCCTCACCCCGGTCCGGGGCCACTGAGCCGCCTCACCACTCCGTCAGGACACACGTGGTGACCGTCACCAGCGTCGGTCCGGCGCCTGCGTCGCGGCGTACCTGGGTGGGGCGTCGAAGGCAGCGGGTGCACGGGGAGCGCCGCGGCCGGTCGCGGCGGCGTCACCTTCCAGGCGGCGGCGGGCGGCGCGGCGCCGGCCGCCGTCGGCGCCGTGTCCGAGATCAGCATGTCGATCGAGTGGCGTAGTCGGCCGTCCCCCTCCACTGTGGCGGCACGGGCGGGACGGAGCGACAGCGTGCGGCGAGCGCGAGCGCCGGGCGGGTCTGGCGCGCCGCGGCGCGCCGCGCGCGCGCGCTCGCTGATGCTCGCCCACCGCTCACCCCGCCCCCACGCCGGCGCCGGCCGCCGCGCGCGCTCATTGGCCGCCGCTAATGCCAGCCGGGGCGAGACGGGCGCTGATTGGTCGCCGGCCGTGCGGAGGCGGAGCCTGACGCGGCGCGTCATTGGGCCAATTACGGACGCTGGCGGTTGTGACGCTGGGCTGGCAGTTATTGAGTGCGGCCCCACTTCATTACAGCACGGCGATGACGTGTCCGCCCCGCCTGCTCGCCACAGATGCACGCTCGCACGCGGTCCCAGCAGTGTAGACGTACACAATTAAGACACCGGAACAGTGTCCGCTAGACACGAGCAACGCATGTGTTAAAATAAGGGTAAAGTTTGTACACGCGGGGAGAGTAGGCAAGTGAGTGCTACGGAGAAGTCATGGGCGCTAGGTTGATAGGTTTAGATGCTTCTGCGTGAAAACTTTGAAATTGTGTGTACTGCTTGTCAGGTGATACGTTGTGACGCGACGAGAAGCCACGAAATGTCACTAGGATATGGTCTTCGGTTGAATTTGAGGGCTCTCGGCACAAAACTGTCGGACGATGTAATTAACTATGGTGGCAGAAGGACGTCCTCTTATGCTGTTTCATGTTCTGTATGTGGTTAGGAGCAAATTTGGAATGCATTCGTGGAAAACTTGGACTGCACCAACGCCTCGTTAAGCAAATACGCTGTTGATGATATGAATGTTCGGTCCGTTTTACTCAGCGTGCACTATCTCTTAAAGACTAGCCTAAAAGGTGACCAACAAATTTAGACATGCCTCTCTTACTTGAACGAATCAGATGCAATGGAATCCATGTGCAATCCAATCCATCCAATACATTACATCCTCCCCATGCTTCCCTGCCGTAAAACTTACGAAGATCTTTGGTACATACGACCGTGTCATGCCATAGGTATTAGAGACAACGGCAGCCTCTGAACAATCGTTGGAGCAACGCCGTTTTATGTCAATGCTGTTTTATGTTTATATGTCAAAGCTGTTTTATGTTTTATGTCATGTCATGTGTTTTGTTAGTACGTTTGCGAGATGCGGGCCCGGCCGCCCTTGGCATTTACGCGCCATCACAAATTTATTTAGCGGAAGGACCCCCGAAATATTTTGGAATGTCGTCCTCGCCTGGTGTAGGCCCACTTGCCAGTCCAGACAAGTGTTACACTGGCAATTTGTTCGCACTCTGGTCACGCCCCGGGTCATCAAAGCTCAAACTTGCCAGCAAAAGGCCTACGGTTGGGATAACGATGTTGCATCGTTAGAAAAACAAACATATAGATAAATGCAAAGTCCCGCACAGCATCACGGACATCATGTATGTGGTGTGGTGCAAGATTATAAACCCACGCAAATGTCATTCGCTGGGGAAGTTACCTGTGAGTACCCGTTTCTTTCCAGAGTGGAGAATAGGGCATTGCAGGTGTGGCGAAGGACACACGAACTTTCACTGATATGAACCGCATTTGATATTTTGGATTAAAAACCGCTCACTTCTGTACCTTTGCCACGACAACTTGTCTCACCACCACTCACCCGCGATCCCTCCTGTGCCCACTGCCGCTCCGCCGGCGTCGCGGTTTGGTATAAATCGCCCTCCACCGGCGTCTCAGTCTGCTCTACATCGACCATCCGGCCACGACCTCAGGTCACCCGTGACCACTCCCGTCCTCACTGTCCTTCCGCCGACGTCGCAGTGGCTCTACACCGACCCTCTGACCACGACACCAGGTCAGTTGCCAGACCAGAGGGACGAGCACCACGGGAAATCGAACACCTTGCCTTTGGTCTGAGAAACCAGAGGTGCGGGGTTCGATTTCCCGCGGTGCTCGTTCTTCCTGCCGGTTGAGAGGCAGGCGACGTCATGTAGCCTCCTCACCTGAATGCGTCGTAAGTCTCCAACGATAGGCAACTCACCTGCCGCTGTTGTGAGCGGATCCATGGCCCTCGGATGACGCGCGTCGACGCTGACGAACTGAAACATGAACACGCGGGTATCAGCTGAACTGAAACGGGAGCACGTGGCCTGTCAGGTGAACTGAAACAGGAACACGCGCATGTCAGCCGAACTGAAACACGAACGCGTGCGCTGTCAGATGAACTGAAACAGGAGCACGCGGAGCCAGCTGAAAACAGGAGCCACAAACAGGAGCCAACTGAACTGGAACAGGAACACGTGCGCCATCAGCAGAACTTCCAACGGGACACCGCTGCGCCGCCGCCTTAATACTGCTGGCGTAGTACATGCAGGTGGAGCACAGCTCAGGCCGCCTGACAAATAGCATATTGGCGGAAATATTTGGCCGTGATGTACGGTTTTCCGCTGCGATCGGCAGATTGCGCGGCACACAAAGATCTGCATCATAGGCTGTCATCCACCTATCGCAGAACACGGTGCTGTGACGCAACTAGCAATCCGAAGCATTTGCTCAAAACTTTCTCGAAAGAAGAGAGCCCTACTACAAAGAGAAAATGGTAGGGAGGGTGTGGGGAGGAGAGAGAGAGAGAGAGAGAGAGAGAGAGAGAGAGAGAGAGAGAGAGAGAGAGAGAGAGAGAGAGAGGAGAGAGAGAGAGAGAGAGAGAGAGGAGAGAGAGAGAGAGAGAGAGAGAGAGAGAGAGAGAGAGAGAGAGAGAGAAAGAGAGGGCATATACACATATACCTACACATGTTTATGCAACACAATTTTTCTGGGCGTAAATGAAATAACTTGCAAAATGCATACCACATAATGAAAGATCTTTTAGACGCCGCACGCAAAAAGACAGCATGATAAGTTGCAGTGCATATGCAAACCTCATGATATTTATGGCAGCTTTTTGCTTCATATGCACTGATTCTAACATCTTGAGGTCGAGAGAATTACTTCAGCGTCCCAGTACTGAAAAAGGGTAGAGCATCGAAGAGAGTGTCACACGGTAAATCAATAATATCGGAGCGGCAAAGGGTTTGAGTTAGAAAGAATGTCATGGTGTTGTAACGGATCGAACCAACCGAACGTTGTAAGGAACCGGAGACCTAGTAAACCATCTCGTAAATGGACTTCGAGCAAGTGCAACACAAGTCAACGGTCCGTCATTTCGCTCTCTACACTTTGCCTCAACTCGCAGCACATTCGCAACACTCCCGACTTTCCCACGATCTATTCATAAACGGCGACTGATTTGATCATTGACCGGCCACCGTATCTCCGACTCTAATTTTATGCTCACAGCAGGCTGATTTTTGTCTATTGTCAACCGTTTCAAGTTGATCGTGTCTTTGCTAGTGGGAAAATGTTTAAGGTGAAGCTGGTTTAATTGCCCGAAGAAACAAAGTTCAATCTTGCTCTCCAGTGACGTCAGATTGAATGACGCTGATGCATGACATGGCTTGATTCTGAGATTATCAGTTGGCTCGGAATGTTGCACCGTCTCATCACGTCTTACTATGAGCGAGCGCGGTGACATCTCAGCGTGGGAATGGCACCACGCATCACGGCGTCTGACACATAACTGAGCCCAATTTCCAGGACCAGTATCGTTTTCAACAGTGGTTGAGCGCCTCCAAAAACAATATTCGTCCCCGATGGTCACTTTCTAGCCTTGCTTTCCTGCCGCTTACGTACCGTGCATTTTTCGAAACAGTCAAGAAACAAGAACTTGTGTGTGACATTGGGTGGGGCCGAAACTGAGCTCGAAATCACCTAGGTGGTCGCTGAGTAAGGGCGAAATCGACTCCTTTGACATTTTATTGTGAGCCAATCCCAGAATTGAGTCAACCAAGTCGTAGGTTGGCGCACTTAAATAGAAGTTGAAATATGGACCACGCTATGGATAAATACGTAGCGTGATAGCTAATAGGTGCACCAAATGGAACACAGTTATACCATACTACACCATCAAAACAGATGCTCTACCCGGGTTTTAATGAACACTTTTGCTCGAGACGTCTCCTAAACTGCTGCCACCGGTGTTGACTCCGTCGCACTCGATTACACAATTGTATCACGTGTCCTTGATGGGGGATCGGTGTTGACTCAAAGCTCCGCTGAGTCGCTCAGAGTCGTAGTTTGAGTCAACCTCATGCCTTGTGAGTTAGAATCGGAACAACGTCGCCGAAGCGGTGCTGCCTTTTGGCAGATGGACCGATATTGTAGGTACAGGCAACAGCACGGGGAGGGGCGGGGGATTATGGCCGGCGTAGATGTTACGAAATTTGTGATTAATGGTCGGTATCATTTCAGTCTGTAGAGATTAACTGTAGCAATGATATTGTCAGCACACGGGCCAAGAAAGCGAGGACATGAGTGTGGGAGGAAGCTTACGATTAGCCCAAGGTGACGCATGGAAACAAATGACTACAGACACAGCATTGCTCTTACACTTTTCGAGATGGTCAACTGTCCATGGACACGATTGCATCAATTGCAAAGATGTCTGAGATTGGACCTGTCTTGTAGAACTCCAGTCTCAACTGCGATGACGGGATTTTTTCGTCCTGCAGCACACCCGTCATTATCATGGAGCTCGCAACCCGTGTAAGAGCGCCTCTGATGAGAAGTAGCCGCGTTCGTGGTGAAGCAACGGAGGACACTGCGCGGCGATAGGCTCTGTAAAAATGGCGTAGGCATAGGATTATCGCGTACGAGTGGTGTCGTACAGATCTGCGGCAGCAGGAGTGGCTGAATTTTTACGTGAAGCCAGACGTATTAAAACAGTGGCGCTTTGTTTCGATGGCGTAACGATGATGAGGGCCGATTCAACCACCGCGAAAACCGAAGCGAGCATGCAACTAAACTTCAAGAAAAGAAGCGTTTAAGAGTTGCAGAGATGGCAAATTCGAACATTGTGCTCTTCGCTGCTTATGCTAGAAATAGGTCTCCACTTGCCGTCAACTTAGGTTTCAATCATTTGGTGTCGAAACGCCTAAAAAGCGGTTTGGATGTTCCAAGTGACAACCACACTTCTATGCGTCCGACACCGTGCAATCGCTAAATGGATTACGTCCGCCGCGTTACTATTTTAGACCACCATTCATGCATGATTACTTACACAGAAGAAGATAAGGAACTGCTCAAGAAACACTTTGGAAATGACAGAGCAAAGCTGCAGTTGCCGTTTCCACATCAATTTCAATGCAGCAGCGCAGCACCTTATGGAAGGACTACGCTCGTGTCAGACCGCTGTACTCGATACGCTGTGCACTACGACTGAGGTCGCGGCGTGACATGGCGCGTCGAGTTTCTCCGAATTGTGCCGTAAATGTACGCCGACGCCGTAAACGGTCCAGGACAGTGGCGACCGACATCTGCCCTGTCCTGTGCTGATATCCTGCCCTGCACAGACGCCCTGCCCTGCACCGACCTGGACAGCATCTGTCGCAGTCGCGTGCTCGTGCTTGGCATAACGCGTTTTGCTGTGAACACACGTACGAGCTCCCGCACCGCTGGCGCACTCCCCGCCTTCGTGTGGAGTTGTGCCTGGACTTCGCTCGAACATACCGGCCGAAGGTCAAAGGCAGTCACGTGATGTCATGGCGCGCGACCCTAGAAGGGACTTAACGCGACACATAGATGTGCCATTATTACTGGCGATTACCGTCAGTATTAAGCATCCCTCGCGGACGTCGACGATGTAAAATTGACCTCACAAAGGTCGCGATACCACAGCCATAGCTTCACGACTACGTGTTCTGCTCGTCAGGTCACTGCCACGAGCTCATCTCACCAGTGACAGCACCACATACTACGACATCATCAACGGCTTCGCTGAGCAGATCGAGACACCCGGGTGCCCGATCCGACACCGCCGTCTGCTGCCTGCGCGCCGCCACAGATCCTGTCGATACGGCAGTCGACATCGGACAGCCGGTTCCGCGCATGATCCGCCATCCATCAGACGGAGCGGCGGCGCGGCCGTCGGCAGCTGCCGGCATCTCGTGCCCGGACAAAGGAGCGTGCGGTCGGCTGGTGGTCCGACTGGCCGGAGAGACACCGGGCCGGCCCGGCGGCGGCGCACCTGCCCCCCCCCCCCCCTCCCGGCACGTGCTCTATCGCCAGTATCGGCCTCCGCGTGACCGTGGGCAGTGATCTTGTGTTCGAGGAGCTCACACCGCTCCACTGGGAGGAAGACGCGGGGCGGTGGAGTCACCCGGTCCGTCACAGGGAACCTGAACGGATTGGGAACCTGAGCGGATTGGGGATTTCAACGGATTGGGAACCTGAGCGGGCTGGGGATTTGAACGGATGGAGAACTTGCCGATGTGGGGACTTGCGTTGCGTGCTCAGGACACATGCATTTTCGTATCATATAGCGTTAAGCCAATAGGGAGGCTTCTTCATTCATGGACGCGAAAACAGAAAGGGCAAGATGTCCCGCCAAATTCTGATGAAATTTTGACTCCAATGTCCCCAATTACGGTGAACTTACGGTGGTGCACGGATTAAGCAAAAAGGGATTCAACCCACCACTCATCTTTTGAGACAATCCTACACACTTGAACTACATGTCGTGATATGTGGGGACGTTTAGATTGCTGGCCTGATTTTATCATGTGATATTGTTTTCTTATAGGGCGAGAAAGACGCGTCACATGATATATACATACGCGATATACAATATATACAACACGCGATATATCATCATAATGATATATCGCAGTACCAATGAAATTCCATAGCTGGTGTAGTATAGGTTGAGTGACTTTTCCAACTTTTAATTTTCCAAAATTTTCCAAATTTCCGACGTCAGTCACCCATATCTACATTTCTCACTAGATCTCCACTCCAGACCAATGAGTGCTCGGACCCCAGATCTGGCCATCACTCGGTCAGCAGTGCTTGGACCCTAGGTCTGGTGACCACTCGGTCAGCAGCGCCCGGACCCAAGATCTGGATACCACTCGGCCAGCAGTACGCGGACCCTAGATCTGGCGACCACTCGGTCAGCAGTGGTTGGACCCTAGATCTGGCGACCACTCGGCCAGCAGCGCCCGGA